ATATGGTAATCCAAAATGTCATCGAACAAGATCAAAATGTCGAGGACAATAAGTCACCAATGTCGGAGATACAGAGTCCTAATGTAACCGGTGTCCAATCTGTGATGCAGCCGAGTATCATCCCCGACAATCTCCAAGTCTCGAACCCGGTAAGTACCACAGTCTCTTACCACCGAAGTCCTACTCTGATCTCTGCCCAACTAGTATAGGTCTCAAGTCTGACGAAAAAGAAGAGAAGAAGAAGAAGAAGAAGATGAAGTTTGAAGAAGAAGAAGAAGAAGAAGAAGAAGAGGAAGAAGAAGAGGAAGAAGAAGAAGGGAGTCGAGGAGGAGAGAGAGAGAGAGGGGACTGGCGATGGGAGGGAGGAGAGAAGCTCTGGCTCCCGATACCTCAGGCGGCTCACCACACAGACTTACGTATGGCAGATCCTATCTACGCAATGCCAGATGGCGAAACTTTTTTTCCTTATTTTTTCGTTTGTCGACCAAACAATAAAAATAAAAAAATAAAAAAATAAAAATAAATAAAAACAAGAGACAGACAATAGAAGTTACCGATCGATTTCAAGATCCAATCAAATCAATCAACCAATCAATCAATCAATCAATCAATCAATCGATCGATTGATTGATTGATTGATTGATTGATTGATTGATTGACTGATTGATTGATTTAGTAAAAAAGAAAAAAAGGCCTCGGCCTTTCCTCCTACTCTTCCTCCTATCCTCCTCCTCCTCCTCCTCCTCCTCCTCCTCCTCCTCCTCCTCCTCTTCCTCCTAGAAGTTCTCCTTGTCTTCCCTGTCAACCTCTTCCCTCCTCCCTCGCCTGCTCCTCCTCCTCGCCTCCTCCTCCTCTTCTACTCCTCCTTCTCTCCTACTGCGTCCTCCATCTCCTGGCGCTCATCGCCCACCTGGCGCTCACCTGGCGCTCACCGCCCGCATGGCGCTCGCCACACAGACTTACATATGGCAGATCCTATCTAACAACGCCAGATGGCAGACTTTTCTTCCTTCTTTTTTTTCCCGTTTGGCGACCAACCAATCAAAAAAAAAAAAATACTCGTGATACGACATATCCTATCTAACAATGCCAGATGTCGACCAACCAATCCAAAACTGTTACATACTCGTGATGTTGTCAACGAGTATGGGGCAGAACCAAAGATCAACCAATACAGGATGAGTATGTATGCAACTGAAGTCTGATAAACGGACTCACTCACATAGATATCACTCCACACACATACAATCGTGAGATGCTGGGGTCTGAGCCATACATAGACGATGCTCAGGCCCGTACACACATACACAGATGAAGGTGGGAGGAGAGACGAAGGATGTGGGAGATGTAGGTAGCGCCAGATGTCACCGAGATAGAAACCAGTAGGTCACCAATATGGTAATCCAAAATGTCATCGAACAAGATCAAAATGTCGAGGACAATAAGTCACCAATGTCGGAGATACAGAGTCCTAATGTAACCGGTGTC